AAATTGATCCACATATCATTTCTGGGTTTTGGAAAATCTGACACTCTTCTTCGTTTTCCATGCGTTTGTTTCTTCCATTAAGGTTGCTAGAGTGTTTGCGGAGAGCATTTCGTTACCTGATGGTACAGTTGTTCAAGTTCGAGTTCTTCCTAATGTGCCCAAGGCTACTCTAGTGACAGTCGAACCTGAGACTGAAGATGATTGGGAAGTTCTTGAGCTCAATGCAGAACTCGCCGAAGCAGCTATACTTAGTCAGGTTAGTTTTTGTCTTCTCTCTAGATATTGGATAGTAATCTGTACTATTATTCCTCTGTTCTTATTATCATTGCAGAATATTTTGATCTTCAAATGCCTTTAGTCTGTGATAATGGCATAATCAGTTTGCGAATATTCCAAACATGTGTTTCAGGTGAGGATACTACACGAGACCATGAAATTCCCTTTGTGGTTGCATGACCGAACTGTGATAAGATTTGCTGTTGTTTCAACATTTCCATCAAAAGGGGTGGGTAAGACCATCTTTGTTCTTCACTTTTGTTATATTGTAGTCGTCTATACCATACTTGTCTAGTTTCCTTTTCTTTTTCTGCAACGTATCTTCTCTGGGATACCAAAAGGGGTGTGTAAGACCATGATTACTAGTCTCTATGTTTGCAATTATTATTTAATTAATTACAGAAATGTCTTGACTTGTGGCTCGTTTTCAGTACAACTTGTGCCAGGAACCGAAGTGGCTGTGGCACCAAAGAGACGTGACAGGAATCTTAATGCCAAAAAGGGTCCTGATGCTTTTGCTCCAGACAACGAATGTAAGAATGTGAAGGTTCTATTACGTGTACAAGATACTGATAGATCCGCCTTTCATGAAGCTGATGTCAAAGGAATTGAGCTAAGAGTAGCCCTGACTTCCATTGCCTATATTCATCCTGAAACTGCCAAGAAATACTTGCTAGAATCTCTTCAATTGATTTCGGTATACCCTAGAATACCTTTGAAAGGTAATGTAAAAAAAGATGAAGCCTTAAATGTGAAAAAAAGTGAAGCTTCCAAGGTGGTCGAGAATGGCGGTCCAAGTGCGAAGAAAGAGCCCCGTCGAGCAATTCTTCGTCTTATCTTTTCAGATTTAGCTGCCAAAGGACATCTTATGATGGCTGAGTCTCTTCGTCTCTACCTAGGAGCAGGCCTTCACTCATGTGAGTAAATTTTACTTAAACATACAGATGCTTATGTTTTATGTTCGTCCATATTTATATGTTAGTGTAACAATCTTATCGATCTGTTCAACTTGGTCATTGAAATGTACGGAAATACCCAGCTAAAGTTATTTGACTGGTTATTCACAGTATGCGGCACTGGAATTTGTTTTGTTTTTTATTGATGTACCTATCATGAAGCAAACTTGTTAGGTTTTTGAGAGTTTTCATGCATTTATTGAATCCAAAAGTTATAGAATTCACCATTTTGCTATTTTCCATTCTCAGTTGAGCTTTGTAACCACAGAAGGATCATGACTGAGTAAGAGTTATTACTTGTATGTAGGGGTTTACTTAAAGGGATGCAATATGAATGTCAACAAAGAAATTCCTGCTCTTTCACTATCTCCATGCGTCTTCAAGATTTCTGAAAAGGAAAAGGTGCTTGATAGAGGGACAGATACGCTTGGCAATCATAACTCTATTAGAAAAAGCACTCATCCACTTTCTGGGTTGAGCACCAATTTGGATGTTGTGGACTGGTCTTTGCATGATAAGGTTGTTTCGGCTCTTTCATCTGAGGGTTTGCACGATAAAGGAGAACAAGAGAATGCCTATCAATTTAAGAATAAGAAAGGATTAGAATGCCTTACTCGCCTGTGGTCATTGGCACAGGTTGATGCTATTGCGTCAGTCAAAAAAGTTGATGTTAGTTCGTTAATTGTAGGAAGAGAAACATTGCTCCATTTTGAAGTGAGAGGGCTCAAATCTTATAAGTCCAGAGACGGGCAGCCATCTGTTAATGATCGTTGGGAAATTGGGAAGAAGGATAAAGATGTTCCTTTAGAAATTTTGTACGTTATGACAGTCTCTGACGAGTCTACAATTGGTGATGAATTTCTTGTGTATGAGCTTACCTCGGATAGAAGTGGGAAGAGGGATTGTGTGGTGCATATTGAGCCGGTGCTTGAGAAGATGAATCTTGGTGAACCTGTATTTTTCTCTACTGTTAAAGAAAGACACTGNAATAAAGGTGTTTCCCCAGGCATATCTTCCTTGACGTGGATGGGCCCAACTGTGTCGGATGTTATCAAGAGTACGTTTTACTCTTTTAGCATCATGTTGCTTTAACTGTAAAATCAGAATGCCGCTCTAATGAACAGGTCTTTCTGTAATGCTTTCTGATGACAATGATTTTGCTGAAATTTTGTTTTTTTATTCCATGTTTAGTTTTGCTATCACATACGTTCTAGTTGCATATAAATTGTCTGACGCAATTTTTACCTCAATTAAAACTGCTTGATCATCTACTCTTTGTGCAATCTTCACATGTCGGTTGATTTTAACCTGCCTATTTCATCGCATGTGGAGAATGTTCATGAAAAGATGTTTTACTAACAGTACTATTATGCAGGGCTGACAGTGTTGTTGTCTCCGGCAGCTGGAATGTGGTTTAGCAAGTTCAATATTCCTTCACCTGGACATATTCTCATATATGGGCCTCCTGTGAGTTCCCGTTCCCATTTTTGTTGTTCCATTTGGTATCCTTCAAAAATGAATTTAGTGCATTTTTGGCCCTTGGATTGACTTGTATTTAATTCCCAATTGATTCGTTCTCTCGATGAACGGTAGTATGTTGCCCATTCCAAAGCCATCCCTTTGGCCAGGCATGAGTATCAGGATGTTCATATTGAAGCTTTAGATTTGCTCTTACTTACAACCTAAAACTTTGTTTCCCTGGGTTCAGTCGTTCCTTGATTTCCCTTTATTCCTACTGGTTGAAATGAACTAGTTGTTTACTGTTGTAATCTTCTGTTTGATAGGGTTCAGGAAAGACAATATTGGCAAGAGCTGCTGCAAAGTACTTCGAAGAACAGAAAGACTTGTTGGCACATGTGTGAGTGGTTATGGTTTACATGTGCCTATACTATCTACTCCAACCAACTTGATTTATCTTTGAGAGACTTATTCTGGTACAAATGTGGTCTAAGTTTTGATTTTACTTGTGCAGGATTCTGGTATCCTGTTCTTCACTTGCATTGGAGAAGGTTCAACACATCCATCAAGTCCTTTCTAGTGTAATAGCTGAGGGCTTGGAACATGCACCATCCGTCATCATTTTGGATGATCTTGATAGCATTATCTCATCGTCTTCAGACACCGAAGGAACACAAGCTTCGAATGCGATTACAATGCTTACAAAATTCCTAACGGATGTTATAGATGATTATGGGGTATGAACTCTTGAAGGTCCAACAGTTCACTGTTTTCAAGTGTTCTATCCACATTTATGATCACATTTATCTATGTGAATTTAATTATATGAAAGAAGACTCTGTACGAAGATAAATGTTACTTCTCTTGATAATCCTGATGACTGTTTTCACCTTTCTAACTAATACAACATTAAGTAGTTGTTCTTGAAACTTCTTGACTCTCATTTAGTTAATCAGTTCTATTTCCGTTCACTCAACAGGAATACAGGAATATCTCCTGTGGAATTGGTCCACTTGCATTTGTTGCTTCTGTCCAGTCTCTAGAACAAATACCACAGACATTGAGCTCATCAGGTACAAACTTGTTTTATACCAGTACCTCTACTTGTTTTAACAATATTATTTCTACCAGTATCAGTTCACGTAAATGATTTGTATACTATTTTCAGGAAGATTTGACTTCCATGTGCAACTGGCTGCTCCTGCTACCTCGGAACGTGGGGCCATTCTGAAGCATGAGATACAAAAACGCCTTTTAGACTGTTCAGAAGACATATTGCTCGACTTAGCTGCTAAATGTGAAGGATATGATGCATATGACCTGGTATTAGAATTTTCTATATGCTTTTAAGATTTGATGTTGTGCTAAGACCAGAAAATATATTTGAAAAAAATGTTGGCACACAGCTGATACTTTCTGTGATTTTCGTCAGATATTTTTTTTTGTTCAAGCTTGCTATTTCATTTTGATTTGATTACTATTCTGTCCTTGAATTTACAGTGTGCTCTATTTTAATTTTCTTTTTCCAGGAAATACTGGTTGATAGAGCTGTTCATGCTGCCATTGGCCGGCATCTACCTTGTGAATCAAATATATCGAAATACACTTTGGTCAAAGAAGACTTTACTCGAGCTATGCATGAATTTGTGCCTGTTGCCATGCGTGACATCACACAGTCTGCCTCTGAAGGTGGTCGTTCGGGGTGGGAAGATGTTGGAGGTGTGACTGATATTAAAAATGCTATCAAAGAGGTATATAAGCATGCTGATTGCCATATCTGATTTTGTTGCCCCCGTTAAGATCTAATTAGTGTGGGGTAGGGAAATCTTTTACCTGCATCTATTTAGTTTTATCTTCTGGCATTTGTGTATGTCGCTGGATGTTCTTTTAATGAATTAACTTACGCTTTGAGTGGGAAACAATATTTATTGAATTATCTGAGAGCTAATTTGACGCGAATAATTCCACTGTGCTATATACCATAGTGCTACTAGTTACAGTAATGATAAGTAGTTATCTAGAAATATAGTTTTGGATACTCAACTTATTTGCTCTTTGCCATATCCAGATGATTGAGTTGCCATCAATATTCCCGAAAATCTTTGCAAAGTCTCCTCTGCGTTTGAGATCGAATGTTCTCTTATATGGCCCACCTGGTTGTGGGAAGACCCACATAGTTGGTGCAGCTGCTGCAGCGTGTTCCCTGCGGTTTATATCAGTGAAGGGGCCTGAGCTATTGAACAAATACATTGGTGCTTCTGAACAAGCTGTAAGAATCACACCTTTCTTTGTTTTCCGTCTTCAAGAACCTTTTGGATTATCATGGTTTTCAAATCTTCAGTGGCGCATGCTTTCTCTGTATTGTTGAATTTATTTTTATTCTCCTGGGTTTTCTGCTGAGTCTTTAATTTGTACTAAACAATAGAATGGTTTGGAAATCTCAGTGGAAAATGGTTCTACAAAAGAGTTTTCACAGATCACATAACAACAAACACACTTCTTCTTTCAGGTCCGTGATATATTCTCAAAAGCAGCAGCTGCAGCACCATGCCTACTTTTTTTCGATGAATTCGATTCAATAGCTCCCAAGAGAGGACATGACAACACCGGAGTAACTGATCGAGTTGTTAATCAAGTAAGTTACTTTAAAGTCTGTGCATATATGATTCATGTAAAGTTTAAACATCTTATATTTTTTTCATTTGGGTAGTTTCTGACAGAACTGGATGGAGTTGAAGTTCTAACCGGGGTTTTTGTATTTGCTGCAACGAGGTATGCAACACCATAATAAGTCTATATATTGCATATCAGTTTTAGTCTTCAATGCACTCATACAATCTACAGCAAACCATGGATTTTTCTGAGTTAACAGTAATTCCATTATATGATAACATTTATGTTGAAGCCTGCTCTCAGTCCTCACTTTATGTTTTCATTACATACGAAAGATGGATATCTGATTTTAGAATGGTTTACGCTCTAACAGTAGACCAGATCTACTTGATCCTGCGCTCCTAAGGCCTGGCCGGCTTGATCGTCTTCTTATGTGCGACTTTCCATCCCCACCAGAGCGACTAGAGATTCTTACCGTTCTTTCTAGAAAGGTTAGTACATTTGCGCTAATCACTTTTCCCTGAAACCTCATGTAAAGTCTTCTATGTTACATATCTGAACAACCAGAAACTAGAATGTCCATGTAGATTTGAGGCATCTATATTTATTACAAGTTAAAATGACAAAAGAAAAGTCCTTGCACAAATCTGCAGCTTCCGATGGCCGGTAATATCGACCTAGATCCTATAGCTCAGGTGACTGAAGGCTTTAGTGGAGCTGATCTTCAAGCTCTTCTCTCAGATGCGCAACTTGCAGCTGTTCACGAGTTTCTGAACAAAGAAGATAAACCCGAGCCCGGAACTACTCCAATAATTACCGATCCTCTTCTGAAGTCGATTGCTTCTAAAGCCAAACCATCAGTTTCCGAAACCGAGAAGCAAAAGCTTTATGACATATATAGCCAGTTTCTGGATTCAAGAAAATCGGTAACCCTCACTCCTCTCCACCTTAATTCCTCTTCTCTTTTATACAAAGTCCATAGGTTGATTACTGACAACATCAAAAACCATCTTGTTTGCAGTCAAGAGAAGCAAAAGGCAAAAGAGCAACCTTAGCATAACCAAAGGTATCACGAAAGACAAAAATAGTTACATTGTAGAAATCACATCATGAGGTATCCTTATGATATAATATAAACAGTGATAACCATTATAGTAAAAAAATAGAAGACAAAAATTGTCAAGAGTTTTCAGATAAAGATTAGTTAGGGAGCAATAATAAGTGGTCTTCTACTAGGTAAGTTCTGAAAGATCCAAGTGACTATAAACACATCTTTAGTAAAAGCAGTATCAGATTCGATTTGAGCTGACCTGCAAACTAAAACCGGTCCAAAGGATTCGAATGTATCATGTTCACTATGATGATTATGATAATTTCATGTGACCAAACCTATCTTCAGAAGAAAATCACAAGATTTTTTTATTTGAAAACAACGTATTAACAATGGACAAGGTGTTATCCTTAAAGATTCTATATTTGACTATGCCAGTGAATCAGTGATTAATGTTGATATGGCAATAACCTTAAAGTCCTAGAAATGGAGTCAACCAAATATCCATTGAAGATGATGAATAGAGTCAGTTAAGGCAGTTGAAGAAACTGTTGTAAGTTCAGATAATAATATTTCATTTTCATCACATTCAACAAAAAGACAGCCCCCAAAAAAAAAACAATATTACCAACAACAACAAAAAAACGGTTTGGTTTGGTTTATATATTAGGGGGA